TATATATATATATATATATAATATTTATATACGTAGTTATGTTTTGCCATCCACGCAGTGCCACCGACACGAGATTTTAATCCCTTTGTTTTTATTATTTACAGATGGCCCCATTGATCATTTGATGCCCTACCCCCTACCTAATTTATATATTTTTAATGAATATTAATATTCTATTTAAATCCAGTCGGTTCATATAAAGTATTACGATTCTCTAACAATCTATTTATACAATAAATTAATTTTTCTTACATAAAAAAAGTTTAATTGAATACCATATTCTTTCATAAGGGATATTAATTTAGGAAAAAAATATTACATAAGGACTCCCCACCTAGAGCTGCATGTGGAGTCCAATGAAATTACGCCGTGGAGTTGATAGACCCGGTAACACTAGAGAATATTCTCCTCGTGTTATTCATGTATTATTTTGTATTATTTAAGTGTTATTGTGTATTATTTAAGTATTATTGATGTGTTATTGTGTTATTATAACACTGGGAATATTCTCAGAACACAATAATACATGAATAACATACAATAACACCTGAATAACACGAGGGGAATATTACCTCGTGTTACCGGACCGATCACCTTCACGACGTAATTTCATTGGACTCTTCATGTAGCTCTACGTGCGGAGTACTGATGCAATATCTTTTCTTAATTTAGGGCGCCTTATGAAATTCCAGTTCAAAATTTCCATTAAAAATTAGCAAGCTGAAGATTTACTGAAAAAAATTAGTTTTGAAAATAATAAATGTGAAAAAATTGGATTTTTTAATGGCGCTGTTTGAAAATATCATCATATCTTTTATTTTTTAGTTTTGTTCTATCACAAAATCAAAATTTTATAATAATTTGAAGCAACGCAAGTTACTGTGTCCTCAGGGTTCATCCGAGGAAGGAGCTGCTGAGCAGCATGAGCTCTCAGGCCTGGCAGGAGCCATTAATCATCTCTTTACTTATTGATTACGGTTCGGTCAGGTTGCATTCATGATTTATTCAATGCGGCCTTCTAATGATTCCCATCTGTTGATTCCTCCATCGCTGCCATGGCAAGAATATTTTTTTTCGACAAATGATGATAATTTATAAATCAAGTTTATTAATTTTATACTGACAAAATTTAATGAGTATAAAAGCTTGACAGCTATGACATTTCTCAATAAAAAAAATGAGATCTTTTGCTTATTTTTTGGAAGATTCCATTGTTTTTGAGGATTTGTTGAAAGTTGGTAGTATGATGAGCTGCCTGCTTCCTTGGTGAAATGCTCCCAATCTGTGACTTTGCTCTGTTCTTATTTTTCTTAGTGCAGGGATTAGGGTTTCAGAGATTATTTCTGTTCAGTGTTTGTTTCAGCAGAGTAAGTAGGTTTATCTCCTTCTCTGGTTCTCTTCATGGATATAAACTGGGATTCTCATTTTTCATTGGAATAATTGAATCTAAATGATTTCTGTACTTCTGAGAACATGATCTGTCGTTTTCAGGATAATCAAAGGTGAACCATGGAGAAAATAAAGATTTCTGGCTCTGTGAAGGAAGAATGTAACACAAAAGTTCTGGAATGCAGCTGTGATTCTAATTGTTCTCCTCGTGTTCCAGATAGCTATTTATGGAGGAGGTAAACAAACAATTTAATTTGTGGAACATGTTTTGCTAGAAAAGATGAAGGATATCATAATAAAAATAAAATTGGAGGGTGGTTTATGATTGTGTTATTCAGAATAGAAGATATTGTTATGCAAATAAATCATCACTTTTATCTCAGCTGTTTGGAGTTGGTTTCATGAATCCACATTTATCATTCGGTCATGTTGAAGGCTCGAAACTATGCTTCAGTTGAAAATAAGAAATCAAAAGCTGATTTCTCATTGTTGATTATGGTTCTCCAAATGCCATATTCTTTGCTCTAATATTTTTTTGGAATTTGATTCAGCTTTCTAATTTGTTTAGTGTTTGATTCAGCTTTTCGGAAGGGCCGGATGATTTGTTAAATGAGACGCCACGGCTGTCTTACTATAATCCTGTAAGCATTCTAACTTGTTCTGTTATTGTTGATTAAGTTGGAAAGACCTGTACTTGGCCTTTGATGGTAGGAAAAGAACTGTTTTATTGTCTGATAACCTTAATTGTGATATAACTATATGCTAAAATTGTTCCTGGGGAATATAATGTTCTGTTCTTCCGTAGATGTATACAAACTTGATGGCAACTAGGCCATGCATAGCTCATAAGACATTGAAGATTATTATTGTAATTTCAAAAATTGAAGGATAAGCCCTTTATTAAAATTCTTGTATTTTTTGCCTTCAAATTTATAAAGAGTGTTCCTCTTACATGAGTTCCATTTATCATGCTTTAGTTATGAAGCACAAACAGTATCAAATGGCTCTCCGCATCGAACATGGATACAGCTTTAACATAACCCAAAATGTGCACAAAATGCTGGAAATTTTGTTGTTGTTTTTTAAACATGAAATTGAACTCCAACGCTTATCCAACAAGTCTGGACATGAACAGGCCACTTGAATGAGCATTTTGTGCTTAAACTTAAAAGCCCTAATCATATTTGTTTAAATGATGATCAAATAAGGTTACACAATGGTCAAATCGTTTTCAAAGTATCTTTGAATCTTGATTGAACAATATTTCGTAAAAGATTGAATCATATTTGAACAACTATCAACAAATTATCAAACTATGTTTGTAACATGATCTAACAAACATCAAATTACCTTGGAAGAATGTTCAAATAATAATCGAACAATGATTGAAGAATCCTTAAACACTGATCAAATCATCTTCAATTTATATTTGATCATGTTATGATTATTATTCACAGATGATCTGATGAGAATTTAGTTATCATTCACGGATAATTCAACCATTGTTTAAATCATCATTCAATCAAGATCTTCGCATGTAATATATTATTTACCTTCATTCTTGGTATAGAGTATAAAGTGTGAACATCGTATTCAATTTTAAATAAACCAAACAAATAATATTACTAGCATTTACAAATCTTGCTTATCTACCCTCAAAGTCCCACATTTCACTTTTGCCGAAGTCAAACACGTCAGCTTACCCACATTGATCATGCATCTCCACCTTTTTAGAAGTCAATGACTTCATTTCCCCCTCTTAAATCCCGTGACTCTGCTTTGTATCAAAGTTGAAGTCAAAATCTTATGTCTTCTTTGAAGTTAAGGCACCTAAGGTTAGCAATAGTGTAAGACTCTGATTAAAAGCTACATAGTAGTACTTTTGTTTTAATATTTTCTTTATTTAAAAAATATAAAATGAAAATGGTTTTAGGATCTTCATTCTTGTTTTCTTATTAAGCAAAACAAAAGATTATAGGTTTTATAAGAAATATTTAGCCATATACCGTTCATCATTTGTTATTATTATTTGTGCTCTCAATAAATAATCATGTTTTACTTATTATTTTGATAGGATAACTAATTTCATCTTGGACACTAATATGGTTGGTAATGATTTCATAAAAGTGAAGTCAACAATTTCATGGGAATTTGTTACTAAATTATTTAGTGTAAGCTATTGAAGCGAGAGACAATATGTAATTTGAATGCCATAAGGAACATATTTATGGGAATTTGTTATTATTATTATTTGTGCTCTCAATAAATATTCATGTTTTATTTATTATTTTGATTGGATAACTAATTTCAACTTGGACGCTAATATGGTTGGTAATGATTTCATAAAAGTGAAGTCAATAATTTCATGGGAATTTGTTACTAAATTTTTCAGTGTAAGCTATTAAAGCGAAAGACAATATATAATTTGAATGCCATAAGGAACATATTCTAGGTAAGAACCCACTTGCTTAGACATTTAGAGTAGACATTCGATCACGCCCTAAAATAATATCCACACAGATTTAAAAAGTGCAAAAGTTTGATGCTTAAACTAAAAAAATTTGTCACTTTCAAGTAGGTTCCCTTCCCTTCTTTTGAGCAAAGTGGCTCCCACTAATATTTTAGCTCCTAGTTCATATGGACATTTATTTCTGATTGAAGGGTATGACTCTAGAATAAAAAAAAACTGTCGGGGCAAGGTTTCAAAGGCAAAATTTGGAATTAAGGTGTTTTATTTTA